GTATATTGGTAGAGTTTTATGTGGCAAAAAAAAATGGTATTAAAATTTTGTCCGATAATAATACATAGGCGTAGAACTTGATTTTTTAAATAATTGCACCTTTAAAAATTCTACGCCAATGGAAGAAAAGGAGTTTGAGTATGAAATTTAGATTGCGCAACTCATTTACTTTAAAAAAGGTACTCTTGATAAAACTCGATTACTCTCATGGTTTTGACGAAATTTGCATTTTAGTAATTTTAGAACATAAACAATAATTATTAAAATACAAACTTTGTCAAAACCATGAGAGTAAAACGAGTGTTATCAAGGGTACTTTTTTGTAGTAAATGAGTACTCAATCCAAATTTCATACTTAAACCCATTTTTTGCCATTGGCGTAGAATTTTTAAAGGTGCAATTATTTAAAAAATCAAGTTCTACGCCTATGTATTATTATCGGACAAAATTTTATACGATGAAAAACATAAAAATGTACTTTTTTCATATCTTCTTCAACACCTCTAATCGAGACTTTTAACATGAATACTCGATTCTTGCCATGTACGATTTTTTGAGGAATAATAATTATTTGCCTGCAATACGTATACAAAAACATTTATTGTTGGTTTCCATAGTTTCTTCTAAATAAAAATATTGTCAAGTTTTAACACCTAATCTTTTGTTAACGATTGAAAGTGTTCTATCTGACTCAATAATTAAAAAAACAAATGCGTGGTTTATTAATATGGCTGTACAATATACCAATGCAGAATATCCCGATATGTTACTGACATTAGGATTTTGTGAAGGAAATGCTCGAGAGAGTGTCAAGGTGTACTCTGAAAGCAGCGTTGCCAGTACTGTTAATTAAAACGTACTGAAATTTTAATGAAAAGGTACTAGATTTACGAAAAACGTACTAAACTTTCTAATTTAATAAAAATAATTAGAAATAGGAATTTATAAAATTATACACCATTTAAAATACAAAGATACGTGCTTAACTCTTTATTATTAGTGTTCATTGGTCAATAAATTCATAATACAGATCTCCATAATAACTTTATTCAATCAAATAAAAACAAAAAATAAAATACTGTAAAAAAATCAAGTTTTAAATAAATGATATATTAATAAAATGGTCCTAAACGTTTAGGGCGTTTAACGCAAATTTTCCCTATATGTCTAGGCAATCCCTAGTGGGAATTTTAGGTTTATTCATCTGGCATCACTATATGTTAATTTGTGTTGTAGAACTGAAACAGAAGGTTTCCATGTGGTGCAATTATCATTGCCCATCAAATCTTTACAGTGCTATCGCATGTTTTCACCTCTAATTTGTTTCTTATTTTAGTTTTGATTATTCAGTTGAGAAAAGATGCGTTCAGCACATGCAGATGAATGTGGTAAACACATAACACATTTAATAACTTTTATTAAATTAGGGAACATACACGGAAAACAAATTGTAGAACAAATTTCTACAATTATAGATTTTTTCTCTACAATAAATAGTACATATAGGGACAGGGACAATTTGTAGTAAAAATTTCCAAATATTTGTGGAGAATGTATTGTAGAGTTATTATCTACAATATTTAGTAAAAATATCCAAATGCATCATAAGAATTGTTCTACAAATTGTTATAATTTTTGCTATTCATTGTATGAATTTATATTAAAAATGTATTGCGTTTTATGAAAATAAATATGAAAATTTTACACAATAAATAGTAAAAATTCATACAAATTGTAGTAATTTTTAATAAAACTTGTTGTAGTATTCCATAATTATTATAATTATAACCTAGAAAAAAATGTTCCTTAATAAAATATTCAATTTATTGTTTTAATATAAAACTTACAAAGTCTTAATTACATTATGTATTAAATAACAGTAATAATAGCACCCTCAGTCTCAGTTGCCTTTTCTGCACCTGAAAAATATGAAATAAAAATTAATAACAATTGAACTGTTCATACCCTTAAAACGGGGATATTTATTACCTTTACACTGATTTGGATATTAAATGACTAAGTCAGATAACTAACAAAAATGAGAAAGTCACAATTAAGACAAAAAAACATCATTGAATTTGGCCCAAAATTCGATCGTTGGGCACAACATTCGATCGTTGGCCACAACTATTTTTTTTAAATAATCTACTAAGGTTATGTAAATTAGTTATCTAAAGGTAAATTATTCAGAAACAATAATAAATGTACTTACCACCAATAGAATTTATTATTAAAATTTTCTCAAACGCGTCGGTGATTATAATATAATAATGTGTTATAGGTACTCGTATATGTACCATGCTTTGTTATGTGAAAATGGCGAACGGCTACTGCTGTCTGGTCATTTATGATCGACGTCAGAAAACGTTGGCCAATAGCAGAATTCTGTTTTGTTCACATGACTTAGAATTTCTACAATATTATAGAATATTTTTGAACAAAATTGAATATTTTTCATAAGAAGGGATGTAAATCATTACTATTTTTTGTAGAGAAAATTACTATTTTTTGTAGAGATAATTATTAATATTTGTACAAATTTTTTCAGAAGTTAGTAGTAGTAATTACGATAATTGTAATAAATTTCTACTTCTACAAACAATAGTAAAATATACTAAACATTGTGGAATTATTTCCTATTGTTGTAGCATTTTATTCGACAATTCAATTGCTACAATAATGAATAGTTTTTAACTATAAATTGTAGTAAAATTTTCTACAAATTGTTAAGTATTTTTCTACAAGTCTACTACTACAACATTGTAGTAAAATTTTCTAGTCACATTTTTTTCCGTGTAGGAACGTTTAAATCATTTTTACAATTAATAATATAAAACCAAAATTGTTCAAAACCGAGTAAACTTATATTCTTTAAATCCTCAATTTTAGGCAAAAGTCGCCATTCTGTGTTCAAATCTTCGACATCAACATCAATATTTGGAAAATAGGAACAAATTTTTACAATACTAAGTAGATCACCTGAAATAGCTTTTTCAGGGGTAAAATTTGAGAGAAACTTTAATATATGATCATTGAAATCAAACCTCTGCCTAATTTGAACACAGAGTTCCACATAAAAACTAAGAGCATTTGTTTTAAAATTCCTGATTTCACTTTTGTCAATACTATCATTTTCAAACAATTGTTCAACTTTTGCACCAAAGTACATTTCATCTATCTTTAAAAAATAGTCAGGATTAGATGGTGCTATAGCTGCCAAATTATCTTTATGATTTTTTAAAATATCATTACGTATGTAATTTTTTAAAATAATTTTATAGAGTTCACATAAAGATGATGTATTTTTGGGTGTTCACTCTGAAATTCTATGTTCATTTTGTTCACTATACCCAAAATGTACGAAAGAAAAATTAGGTAAACTCTTACAATAGGTGTAGAAAACTTTTCTAAAATAATTTGAGTTGATTGCAGACCATCAAGCAAAACTTCACTTTGAAAAAATAATTTTAAAGCATCCCAACATAGTAGAACTCTATCTACTGCTGCCTGTAACAGAACACAGCTACTTTGAATCCTATATTATCAATATTGTAATTGATCTTACCTGTAATGACAACCACCTTGTTTGGGCTGGGTGCAACATTTTGTAAGATTTTAAATTCGTAAACTTTTGAAAATCACGAAATTCAACAATCCGTTTATTGCTGTGGGCAAAGTAATTGTAGATACTTCTTATAAAGTCTTCTAGGCCTCGAGGTAGTTTTGAACATGCTGCTGAGGAACACAATGCAAATGAATGGCATATACATCCCAAAACAAATATGTTTGGGTTTAAACTTTTCATTTTAGCTTTTACACCATTTTTGTCCCCAAGCCTACCATATTTTTTATAGGTATTTTGTTGATATTTAGAACTTCGCAAACAGACTTAAATAAACTCTCAGATATTACTGGAATCAGACTTAAAAATCGATCTCTAACTTTAACACCATTATGGTATCTTATAATAACAGCAAGAGATTGTTTGGTAGAAATATCATTGTTTCGTCGATTATTATTGAAAATAAATTGTTCTGGGTTTCTTGCTGAATAATATCTAGAGCTTCCTTAGCTAAACATTGTTTTGTTATTTCTGTAGCCTTTGTTCTACTGCATTTTAAATTTTTTATTACCTCACACTCTGGAAAAGTTGCACTTAACATCTTTGGCATATGGTCCATCAATAAAAATGGCAGGTTATGCTCATGCAGGAACATCAATAAAATAAGTTCAGCTTGTTTTGTCTTCTTATTTAAAGTTTCAAATTCACTGAAAACCTGTAATGTTTCCAATTTTGGCGTACTAACAGACTTGTTGTAATTTTTTTTGTGTAATTTAGTTAGTTCATGCCGTTTAATGTGGCTTATGTTGCAAGTTATAGTTTTGTTACAACACTTACAAAACACCAAGTTAGACCTTCCGTTACAGTCTCTTGTTAGCCAAGTATATTTACTTTCCCAAGATTTTATAAATTGTTGTTTGTATATCTTCCTACGTTTAGTTATTATTGCATGATCATTTATTTGAGTACCAGTTCTGACAGTTGTGGTCGCATCCTCATCTTCGCTATGGCTTGACTCAATTTCTTGTTTGTCCATGTTCATAGATTCATATGATGATCGTGATTTTTGTTCAATATCATGCCCAGTTAAACTAGATGTGGTTAAGTATCTGTAAAAATATTAATAATCAAATTGAGTTATACCGTTACTACACAATTTTACCTCTCCATATTTTTATTTAATTTATTATTTCTTTTACATTCTATTCCGGTTTCGTACCAAAAAAAATCCAAAATCAATGTTTTATTGGTTAGTTCTTCCCTTCCTAGTTAATATGGCCAGTTGCCGTAAGGTATTCAGCCAGAGTTTCGATTGAATCGATACGACAATTACTGGTCTTCACCTTTAAATTCTGATGTACAACTATAAACAAATACTTCAATTCTTGTTCCGTGATTTTCGTACAAAAACGTACTAAATTGTATTTGGGCGTACTAGCGTACTAAAAAGTTTGAAAAGGGAGTAGATTTAGTACGAACGTACTAGCACTGGCAACGCTGTCTGAAAGGTTTCCAAATCGTCGTGTACCTAGCCACCCAACTTTGCTGCTGTTGAGAGACGTCTTCGGGAGACCGGTTCCTTTGCTCCCAACACTGTTGATAATGGAAGAGAACGTTTTGTAAGGATTCCTGAAGTTGAAGAAGACATTTTAGAACGTGTTGAAGAAGATCCAGAATTAAGCACCAGACGAATTGGAAGGGAACTAGGAGTAAGTAAAGATGTCGTTCATATAGTGCTTAGAGAACAATTGCTATATCCATACCATAAGAAGCCAGTACAAGAATTATTAGTCCATGATCCTTAAATTCGTTTGGGTTTTTGTCGATTTGTTAATATGCAAAGAGAAAGAGATCCAAACTTTCTTAAGAAGGTTCTCTTTACCGATTAAGCGGGTTTTACAAGAAGAGGTATAACTAATACCCATAATGAACATGTTTATGCCGTTGAAAAAACGCATGCAATAAAGGTAAACCATTTTCAGCACGAATTCAAAATTAATGTGTGGGCTGGAATAATTGGTAATTTCATTGTTGGTCCTGTCATACTTCCACGAAGATTAACTGGAGAAAATTATTTGGATTTTCTACAAAATACGTTGCCAGAATTGTTAGAAGATTTACCTCTCCAACTTCGGAGAGATATGTGGTTTATGCAAGATGGAGTTCCACCACATTTTTCTTTAAACGTTAGAAACCACTTGAATAAACAATATCCACACAAATGGATAGGCAGAGGTAATGACGCACCTGTAAACTGGCCACCACGTTCCTCAGACCTAATACCGATGGATTACTTTTTATGGGGACATCTGAAATCCACAGTTTACAGGGAACCTGTAGAAAATGAGTAACAACTCTGGCAACGTATTCAAGATGCAATAAACAATCTTAGAGGTGATGAAGAAGTTATGGAAAGGATACATTTTAATTTTCTTCGACGTATAAATCTTTGTATGCGTGAAAATGGTGAACATTTTGAACAATTTTAGTAAAATCTCTATTTTGATTATGTTTTAAATAAATATTTTTGTGAAACCTATACACTCTAAATTATTTAAACAGAAATTTAGCGAAAACCATGAGAGTAATCGAGTCTTATCAAGAGTACCTTTTTTAAAGTAAATGAGTTGCGCAATCTAAATTTCTTCCATTGGCGTAGAATTTTTAAACGTGCAATTATTTAAAAAATCAAGTTCTACGCCTATGTATTATTATCGGACAAAATTTTAATACCATGTTTTTTGCCACATAAAACTCTACCAATATACCAAATTTCAGCAAAATCGTATATGCCGTTTTAAATTTATATGGGAAAAACGATTTAAAAATTGTAACTTCAAGGCCCTCTGTAGCCCAAACGAAGCAACTTTTTACTAAGGTAATTTTACTTAAATCGACTTATTTTGGTCTAAGGAATATGTGGTATGTTTTTGTAAAGACCTCGTATATAGTGTGAATTTTTATATAACATATATGTTATGAAAATAAGAATTTAGATGTATAATTTATTTTTAATACCCGCAGTATAGCTAGCTCAGCAATTATATAATTTTTTATTAGATGATGAAAACTTATAATATTTGAATTATAATTTTGGGTTAGGTTCACTCACTTATATTTCTCACTATCAATAATTTAGATAATCAAAGAAAAAGAAAAATAAAAAAAATAAACTCACCTTTGTAATTTCTATGAAATTTTCAATTCCAAATATTAATTTACCTATCCTCTATATGTTTGGTCTGATCACAAGTATTCTAATTTTGATTCTAAAAAATTAGTTAAAAAAAAATTAATTTTCTTATCTGCTTCTTCTTCTTCTTCTCATTTAGTCTACACGTTCTTCTCTCTACTATTCTATTTATCCTCCGATCGTTCTGCCTCCTACCTTATTACTGCTATCTCGCCTTACTAGTTTTCGTTTACTCTTTTTATTTTAAATAAAATTTTTATTTTACCTTATTTTTTAATGTTCTTTATTCAATTCTCCTTCTCATTAACAATATATTTCCATTTCTTTTATCTTTTATGTAAATCAACAATCTACCATATAAAATCCTACAAAATTCCCGTTGATAATTCTCCCCTGACAATCAATAATTAATCTATTACCAATCCTTCAAAATTGACTTTTCCCCGAAACATTGATTTTATTTTCTATTTTCAAAACCAAAAATAGAGCGTTTAATTTTTAGTTAACCAAATTACGTCATAATAGCTTCAAACTGACCACCGCAACATATTGTGTAAAGTATGACCACCCATGAATCAAACTGTCGAACAAGAAAATACCATAGATTCAACACCACCTTCAACGCAGTCAGCTACTAGGCAGATTATGTGTTGAATTAAAAACAAAGGGAGATATGTTGGAACACGCTATACATATTTTTTAATTTTGTTATACTGATAGATTTTATTTAATTCATTGTCATTGTCATGTTTTGAAATTAAACGTTAAACACTTTATTAGTATTTTTATGTTGTTAGTGGAAATCTTAGATTATACAAACCTTAGATGGAACATAAGACACTGCGCATAATCCCATTTCGAAATGATTCACACCCACCAATCACAGTTGAGAACATCACATGTCAGAGCGTTGTACATCCAAATTTAATGTGTCAACGAGAATTAATTTGATATTTTAGTGACTTAAATTTTGGAAATTAACGTTGAAAATGCCAAGATGTGTTGTAAAAAGCTTTATTTATAATAAACCTTCGAAATGTGACGGAGATAAAAGAAGTTACATTTATTTCGGTGAGATATTTAATTTTTAAGGATTCTGTCGACGTCCATATTTGTTGATTTGAAAATAAACAGAATCGGACTTGGTCATTGGTACATGTTATAAGTAGCAGATAAAGGTTATTAATATAAACTGTTTACTATTTCTTGTTTCATGAGGAATCTTTTTTTAGGAAGTGAAAAGAGAAACATACAATCAAATACAAAAATATCAATTTCATTGCCAATTTATTCGTTTCAAACTTTACAACTGGTTTCAATAGTTTTCTCAAAAATATTTATTTAGTAATTCTCTATAACAGTGTTACTCAAAGTGTGCTCCGCGGAGCCCTGGGGCTCCGCAAAGCCTTTGTGAGGGCACCGCGAAAAAAATAATCACAATAAAAAAAACTACTATCGCTACAAAATGGAGGGACCTGGCTTAAGGTTTTTTGGAAAGTAATTTTTTTAAGTCACTAACAGGAAGGAGGATATGATTTTGCTTTAGGACTTTTTTTATTTTATTTTTTATGGGTGAAATGGATTTGGGATAATTCTTGCAAGGAATCTTTGGAATAAATCAAAAATAAATTAACAATAAATGATGCTCTTGTGCATTTTCAGCCTGACTTGCCGATTAAATTATTCGTAGATGCAACAAATGTGGGAATAAGGGCCATGATGTCATGTTTTTGAAAAAAATATTGATAAATCTGTAGCTTCTGCTTCGCGTACCTTATCAAAGTCCGAATAAAAATATTCCCAAATTGAAAGAGAGGTCCTTGCAATAATTTTGGGCTTAAATAAAATGAATGAATATTTATATGGACATTTCTTTATCCTACTTACAGATCACTTACCTCTGGTAACTATTTTTAACCCAGGTAAATGTGTACCCTAATTTTCAGCCAACAGGCTACGTAGATGGGCAGTAATATTGTCAAATTATAATTATAAAATTGAATATGTGAAATCGAAGCATAATATAAAGCCGATTTTTTATTATGTTTACCTATTAAAAGTCAAAATGAGAGTGAAAATAAAAAAAAAATTGAAATAAATTTTTTTAATTGTGTTTTGTGTTTAGGGCTCCGTCAAATACTTCGCTAATATGGGATCTATCCATTTAATTTACATTCTGTTATTTTCTCTAATTTTGACATATAAAGTAATATATTTTGTAATCGCAGCAAGTGTCAAAACGATCTACTTTATGCAACCAGTTGCATAAAGTAGAACATTATGCAACTGATTACGAAAAGTTGAATATGTCACCAGTTACGAAATGAAAATAAATAAAACTGCCTCTTTTTTGGTTTTTAAGTTGAAAAATCGAAAAATCGTGAAATCGAAAAATCGAGAAATCGAAAATCGAGTAATCGAAAAATCCAAAAATCCAAAAAACGAAAAATCGAAAAAAAGAAAAATCTAGAAAAAAGGCAATGAATAGTGACATTTCACATTTGACAATATGACATTACGTTTAACAACAAAAATAGAAAAGCTGTAAATTGCGTTTTATTTTTAAAATAACACCGTTATTGAAAACTGCCCAGAAATATTGGGGGTGAAATTTTGACGTACTCCTTTAAGGATAATGGGTAAAAATGTTTATTTTTTTTAAATTTCTCGGGTTAATGTCAAAAATTAGATCGGAAACACTGCACATGTCCCTTATTTTTATTATTACTATTAAAAAAAAAAAAAAAAAAAAAAACGTAGAGCAATCAAATACAACAAACAATTCTAAAATATTTGATTGGAAGTACCTACAGAAGATTGATGGTGAATCATTTTTAACACAATTTTATAAATAATCAAGTTAAAATTAGAAAAAATCTTGTATGTTAACACGTTACGAAATGCCGTTTTGTGTAAGTCGTTCATGTTGCGGACCTCGCTCCGCTCGTTCCACAAATATTTACTCGTTACACAAAAT